TATAAAAAAAAAATACGGATTTGCGCGTTATTTCTGCTAAATTTTTATTCGTTTTTAAGTGTAACTGCAGTGTTATGGCTTTTGAAATCCTCTTTCAGTCTTGGACTGCGTGGCCTCGCCTTGTACACTCTTTTCTGAAAGCTAATTGGCTGATATTCATCCATGGCAACTGTTCCATTGGGGTTCGAAGGGCTCCTCGCGTGACAAAATGGCGGCCAAAGGCTAATACACGCAGTTGCGAGTTTCTCAATTTCCCACTATTAGATCGCAATACTTATTTGCCAAACAATATGTTTTAAACTTTTTTAGCACTATTCTCTTTATTTCCGCCTGGAACGAAGTGAAATTTCAGCCATGTTCGGCAAAAATATTTGAAAACAATACAAAATCTGACCTAAGTAAAACACGATCGAATGTCTACCAAAAATAACAGAAGTTTTACTCTCATTCCAGGCGTTTTTGTTAAGATTATCTTTCCCCTGATTTGAATGAGCGGTTTATTCACTGTTATAGAGGGAATACATAGTGGGAATTTGCTCGTAATGGCACACAGCATTTTCGGCGCTTAAACTGCAGGTTTTTAGAGGTATCAAATTTCACACCGGTTCCTTGACGTCACGAATCGATAAAGAAGGTTAAGTCTCGACTTTTGGCAAAGTTTCACTGAGATCGGTCCAGTTTCATGGAAGTTATGAACAACTTTGTGAAATATAAAGGAAATAATCATGGGACCCAGGCCTTAATTCACTTGAGATATATATATAGTAAATTTTTGAGCTTGGTCCTTGAATAAGGAAAGATGTTGTTCCTATGCCGCAAGTTGGAGACAAAGAAGAAAGTCTCAGTCTCCCACAAGGAATCAAATCCCAGACGTTCAGTTTTCGTTGTGAAAAGTTCTGCCACATAGCTACAGACAACCCGTGGATGAGCTGGACCATATACTTTTAAGAAATGAAAGACATATTTCTTCCAAAATTTTCCTTGTTTGTATTTTACTGTAATTTGTTTCTTACACAAAATATACTGACCCTTACTGAAATGCAATGTAATCCAATGATACCTAGAGTTATATTTTTATATAGCTTCGTTTCATCGTAATTTGTTTAGTTTGGTAAGTAAAAAAACAAAAACGCAGCTTGTCAACATGAACTTATTACTGGTGCACCAATAGCTGTAAACTTGCCTAACTCAAGATCCTCAAAGAACTGTTTTCCTTTCCAGTATTCCTCCTCAGACATGTCGGTTTTAAGCTGAATATTCCTTTTTCCGAGTTTCTTCAAAACCTGTGGTGCTATTAGCATTTCCTGGACAACTGAATTTAGATGACCACTGCCATAATCATTCCATAATCCTTCAAGGATCTGCAATGAACTGCATTCAACAGTTATATGCCAACTCCCTACCTTATCGTTGCGCACTAAAAGATGAAGTTGACGCGACAAGTATCTGAAAAACGAATCAACTGATTCTTTAAATGATAAAATCACGTCCCAAACACCTCTGTCTGGCGGATTATTTGGTTCAGGGTGATTAGAGGAACCAGCCTCCGCCCCCGATGCTTGTTCCGGCTCGGGTAGATTACGCACAAGGAACGGCGGTTCGGATCCAGAGGCTTGATGATATCCAGCTTGAGGCGGAAAGATCTGAGTGTTGTACACCACACTTATCTGTATGACTGATAGAAAAACAACAGCAAAAGTATCAACCTGCATTGAACTCAGAGAAGAGCACTATTGGTGTTTTGTAACCTTTTCTTAAAACAATTGTGTAAACTTCGAGTAAATAAGGATCTTTGGGAAAAAATGACAACAGCGGATTTACATTAAAGGGAACTGTGGATAAGGTTTCCTTATTTTTATCTGGACTTAAATTTACTCTTTGACTGACCTAAGTCGGGTCGTTGAGACCTAAGGTCTTCGTGTAAAGTAGTAAACCTTTCCTCCATAGCACCTCTCAGCTTCTGAAATTTGTCCTCCATAGTATCACTCAGCTTCTCCAATTCATTTTTTATATCTATATCTTGCTTATACCAGGTCTCCAGCTCATCAATACATATTTTCTCCTCTGTTGTTAAAGGATTACGACGAAGACCGTCAATGGCCTTCTTCCATTCATCTCGCTTAACAGTACTAATTTTTGCCGCAATTCGTAACAAGGGCTCTCTAATTTCCTCCCAGAGACTATCAAACTCAGTGTCAGATATTTCCATGGTGTGACGGTGACCATAGATCTCATTTCAATAATATTTTATTCGTACTAAGTCCGCCACCAGACTATGGTTTGCGCTGTTTGGCAAGTCATCCCATCCTCTCGGTCCAGGGGGAGGGGTCAGGTTGCAAATTGTCCTGAATAACTTGAAGATCAATGTGATGTCAAAATCAGACGACTTGCCGTACACCCCTGTGGATGGGTACAAACAAAGCCTCTCGGGTTGGGTGAGTCTTGCTCCTCTCAGCTGTGCCTGTGTGTCAGGATAAGCGAGTTTCACAGGGAGATCAGCTGGTGAGTGAATGGTGTCGAACGTGTCTCGTAAAAGCTGCACACCGCCGCGCATCAGTAATCGTGTCAGCCGATGAAAATTTGCTCTAGCACTTGTTGATCGAAGGGCTTCCTCTGCTCCGTCAAAGGAGGCCATGGCATGAATTTTAGTCCTAAAATTGGAAATTATTAGGACACGCAAGTTGACAAATGACAACTACAATAGTTCATGGTGCCGACTAATAGAGATATGAAAGGGTGCCACTGGATTTTACTGCCTGACAAACTGGGCGTGTGCAGAATGTGACTAAAAGGGAGAAAATGCTAACTGTCTAAACAGACTGATTTGCCACTTGACGTATTGACGAGGAAATACTTGACAAGCGTGTAATTTACTTTCTACCAAGGGTTCGTGATTTACAATCTTTTCTTTCTTTCTTGGTTATTTTTATTTATTTATTTTTTCAACATCCCTAGAACCATGCGTTATTTCTTGAATCTTGAAATTAAACAGTAGATATTTCTATACTTTCAACAACATTTTAGTGATTTCAACGATAAATATTTTACTTCAAACCCGTTTCATTTCATTCATCAAACAAATTAACCTTCATCGTTTTTTTTCCGCAAAAATATTCCCTCAACTTCAACATTATTTTCATTCAACACATATATTTATTCAGCTTTAACCATCAACACTTTTATTTAAGAAAAAAAGTTTCCGGACCCACAGACAGATGTACATTTGACTAGGCCGTTCAGGTGGATGGCTTTAAAGATGTTTTGTAATTGATAAATGTTTACGCGAAAAAGGAAAACAGTACTGCTTGAACTTTCACTAGAATCGGCCATAAACTGATGGGCACCTGTAGCAAAATTTCTCTTACATCTTAACATTTGGTGGCGATCGCCAGTTATGATCTTTCTCCTCAAATGCTGCAGAAAATTGAAAAAACTGCAACCTAGCTAGGAAACCCCCAGGGAATACACCTTTTTGAGCGCTAAAAGTATATATATGCGATAGGAGATTTTCGTCCCGATAATGATAAACAAAAAGGCTTACTTTGTTGATTAGTTCCCACTCCATATACCGGCTGAGACACACAAAGCTTGGACTGTAAACTAATGAAACGAAAAACCCAGGAAGTTTGCAATAGTGTATTCTCTTCCGGTTTAAATATTCGCAGTGCCGAAATATGCATTGCTCAAGTCTGGTTAGTAACCTTTGCTGTCAGAACAGGTGGGAAAAGCTGGCTTAGCAGCAAAAACCACCTAGAACACTTCAACGAGATCAAATCACCAGCTTCAATAAAAGGTTTTCCTGAGCATAATCACACATCGCTTGAACTTTCAGTCTTCGTTCAATAGAATCAGCCGATGCAAGCTAAAAAAAATTTCAATCACAGGTAACTTTTTTATTTAAAAGAGATGTATCTATAAAACATTCTTTTTTTATTTCAGAAATTGTGTTAATACATTTGTTAGATAGCATATTGACCCATCTTTCGTCTTTCTTCCTTCAAATTTGTGTATCGCACAGCACATCGGACTGTGGAAGAAATCAATCTGAGATGGGACGTACCTCCACTGCCTCGTAACATTCCCTTTAATATACAAGTTAACTGCTCCATTTACTTCATGTATCCGTGAATATCAAACTTAAACATCAAGAGAAACGTACAGGTGGGGTGCCGGAGTAAAATGAATACTGAATGCTGAATAAGCAAGAAAAGTGACTCCTGATCTTATATCAGATTCTCCCTTTGATTCACAAGCATGTGCCTCTATAATTTACTTGAATAGCGTATGCAGGCAATGAAAACTAGAAACCATCCAGGGCTTAAGATATCAAATCACTTTCTACTGTAGAAATACGTTCCCGAACGTCAAGCTGAGGCAGAAGCTAACGTTGTATTGGTAATGGTGCTTCGGTTAAATTCCTTGTTTCCCTACTTGTTGGTCGAGCTTAACTTGCTTTTATTTGTCTCGAGAGTTCTCATCGGCAAGGAGAAGATTAGGGCCAGATCACCATTAAATGACACTAGGATTTCAGACGATGATTATTCAACAGCTTCCGAAAACAGGTGGCATAATTTTGCAGTCCTCGCTTGGATGACCGAGTAAGAAAAGGTAACGTTTTTAAATTTTGGGGGAAAGGAAAAGGTAAGTGCGTCGAATTTATCTTTGTCAGCTTGCGAGGAGGGTTTATTTTGTTCAATAAAGATTCCATAGCAGGGTAGACAGATTAAGGAATTAATGAATAGACAGGTACTTGTTTCATTGTGGAAAACAAAGAAATAAGAAAGTGCTCAAATTCGGTCGATATCGGGCCAGCATTAGAGAATGTTCTGATCGAGTTTCTAGCTCGCAATAAGTAATTGGGACAGCAGTTGGAACACCTGATAATCGATGATAATTTGAGTAGTAATTTAACTGATTGCTCTCAGACTGAAAGTAACGAGGTAGTTCAGCTCAGTGGTATCATCGAAGTTAAAATGATCTCCGTAAAGCGATCGAACATTCATTAAATCTCGTGAGGAAGAAGCGTTTTCGAAGACTCAGTTATACTCCATGATAAATGAACCCAGTTCCGAAATTCAAGGCATCTGTTTAACAAATATCCATTTGCAAATTTGAGGTATGTTTCAATGCAAATTGTCGGTTTCAATACAAATCGTCGGTTTCAATGCAAATCGTCGGTTTCAATGCAAATACTTGGGCTTCCGGGGTCAGAATGCTATCTTACCTATTTTCTACGTTCTTCCCTCAGTCTGAATCGTCACGGGCATCAAAGTTCCTAAATTTGTTCAGTGAAACATTCGATCCGTGCCACTCATAAAAATCCAACTAGGTTAATTGCTGCGTTGGTCGCATTTTGTAATTCTTTAGACCGCGTTCGCGTCTCCTCGTGTTCAGTAGTGTACGTGCGATAACTCCGTTCGCTTGAAGTCAGACAACTTTGATACAAAATAGTTGCACTGAGACCCTGTACTTAAGCAAACCACGAGCAATCTCGAGAAATCGTTACATTTACAGAGCAATACTAAAACTTTAAATGTTGGTTAACCCTGTCCACTGAAATAATGTCGAGTAAGGATTTCCACAGATAGGTGAAGTTATTCCTGACATTTAACGGAAGCAGGTCGAAGCAGAGTTCTGACCAAATTCTTGTCAACCGGCTAGCTTATCACCTTATCTAATATTGTCCATTCCCTTCATCATTTATACTGAGATCTTCATGGAAGAAAATAGCTATACTATGGACCTAATTGAAAGTTTGAATGAATAGACATACCTCAAAACCTAGTTCAGAGTAAATGTGCTTGTTCCGGAATTTACTGTGGGTCTGTCACATCCTACAGATCTGAAAAAGTTCTAAAAAACACTGAATTCAAACATTCTTGCAGTTATAGATGATATTTCTCACGTCTCAAGGGCTTCATGTCCATAATTAGAGGAAATTGAACTAAATACGTCCGTACCACGATCCTTGCTGGCAAAACAGAAATTGGAGAGCTTCATGGGATACAAGCGAACAAAAAGAATCGCATGATATACGGTGATACACTTTCCACTGGTTACCATGAACCTGTGAAGGTCACGCCAGGTTCTTCTCAATTTCCCTATGAGAAGAGTAATAAAGCGGATATCTCAGCCTGCCGGTTTGAAATTTCCTACATGAACAGAATTGTTTCAAAATGTTGCTTTTCTTTGCTGCGCTCTCCCCAAATTTAAAAAATAGAGAGCGTAAGATTTCTATTGCGTGAGGATCAGCTTTAACTCGTTCAAAGCTGGAATAAGATGTCGCTGGCGCGCTATTGAACAAAATTGCAAAATCAAATTGTGCAGGACCCTTTCACGGTGCTCTACTCTCTCAACATTACAACTTGTATGGGAACGTTTTTAAAAGTTCGAATGTAATGTTTTGCGAGTGTAACCAATGAACCTTTCGCCTTGTTATATTTTCAGTTGTTCTCAACGTCTTTTGCCGTCTTAATCAAGCACTTTTGGCGAGTTAACGCCGTAGTTTTCCGTGAAAGGTAGGATGAACAATGCTTTTCAGAGTGCCCGCCACTCGAAGTGAAAAAAAATTAAATTTGAAAATAATATTTGGCCGAATTTCCTTCCTAACACTGACGGAGGGGTGTTACAATTGCTCATTGATTCACCTGCAAGACAATTCATGGGCAAAGTATAGTGCCATCCGAACCTCTATGCCACGTGATCTGGCCGAAAATGATCAGCCAATCGGTTTCAAGGAGAAAATCGCGTCTGGTGCTTAATAATCGTCCTCTCTACCGTATGCTATGACATTTATAGGATTTTCTGTGTCAGTTTCCGCTCGGATGACATTATTAACCATTTCCCTACCATGTATGAATACGTCTTATGTCTTGTCATGCAACGACCGAGGAAGTATAGATATATATGTCCTCAAATAAAAAACATTTCCGAGAGCCCGGTTGTTTGCGATGGCTTGAATAAATTATACGCGGTTGTTCATTGATTAAATCCAATATGGCTACTGGCTGGAGAGGTTGTCTGGCGGTGGTGGGGAAGGGGGTTAAAAATAGTTTAGTTATAACTTGAGTTATCACCTTACTGGTTATTCTTTTAAAATCTTTTGATTTGTATAACTGTCAAATTTTGATTATTTAGAATACTAAAGTCAGTGGCAAGAAGCGGTTAAAATCCGTTTCCATCTATTCCTACATTTTAAACACATACTCGGCTTCGTTGATTGAGTGGAAAGTGCGTTACTTTCACTAGAGATGGGTCCTGCTGCACGACTGGATGCCTTTTATCGTACAGCTTGTTCTATACTCATTCTACAGCGTGTATGGCTTGTCTATATGTGCTTTATTGATAGCTCGCTACGGCAACGGAACGTTTTTCATCGTTTCTAACCATCTCGCTTCTCGAGGTGAGTCTTCGTTTAGTTTTAGACAGAATGTGGAAAGTGACCCAACAATTTCACTGATTTGTATTTCATCCTAAGCAAATATGTACATTATTTCAAAACTGCGTAGAAGTAAGAGTTCACGATCGAGCTTTAATTAAGTGGTAATTGATTATCCCAAGCTCACACGTATGTAGTATGTCAGTTTTTTCAAGGTGGAAGGAAACAGTTTTCCGAGACACATACCGACTATATTGAAAGCGCTCAAAAACCAACTTTCCCTCGTGGCAGTCGAATCAATTTTACACGCACGTTGACCAAAGGGTTGAAGTTTGAAATAGTGGGTGTTGCATGGCAATCGCAATTGTTATGCATACTAATGTTATGAGGAAATCCAGTAGAACAGTTTGTCGGGACGGTCTCAGACATTTTTCGATAGATTTTCACAACTTCAGCATTTTCTCTTTTAAGATAAGGGCTTGCTGCTGAGTGAAGTTTTACAACTTAAATTTAGCCGTTCCAGAACTATGATGCCGCCAATTTTACAGTAGATTTAACTACTTAGGCATGATACTGTTTTATGGAAAGAGCTCGAAATGAAGTTCTGTTCGATGGATTCTGTTTGTTTATCATAGGACAAATTTTCAACATGTTCTCAGCCATTGTGCTAAATTTTAAAATTTTTTCTTTTGTTAAGGAGAAACTGCGGCGTCGCGAATTAAGAGTATTTTCAACACAAATATTTATCGGACCCTAATTTGAGCTTAAGTAAGTTTACCTCGAAAATGCTTCCACATAATTTTTAAAAAAGAGCTCTACGAGAAATACAGCGTATATGCAACAATTCAGATGCATTTTTCTTTTCGGCTACAGGCCGAGAAATATTATCCTTTTTAGTCTCATCTTCTTTGTATTACATCCGTGGTATGGAGTTGACAGCTTTTGCCTTTTTCCTTTGTTCCACTGACAAAGTCGTCAAATCGTGTCAATTATATATGTATCCATTTCTTGTGGGCTAGTTTTCATACAACCTTTTCCAATGGACAGTCACTTGCGTAACAGGCCATACAAAACCCATTTGATAACGTATTTAAAATATGGTATTTACAGGAAAAAATTGGTTAATGCAATCGTAAGGCATCTCGGGATCCATCTACTTTTTACGCTTTTTACGTTGTCCTTTAGATCTGCCGCCTTTTCTGCTTTTATTTGGCATTTCTTTAATGGGGATGAGTTCGTTTTCTTCTTCCTGGTCTTCCTCCTGCAATCCTTCTCCTCTTTCCCCTGGTTCACTATCTTCATTCTCAGTAGAGATGGATTCTTTTTTTGCTAAGAATAAAACAAATCTCTTGTAATTATAGCTTAGCCGCGGTCTTGGTTTTCATAGAAGAACAGATTTAAACACTCAAAGAACTTATGTCACCCAGGCACTTGTTAACTTTCGAGGTGTCATAAAAATACGGGGAAAGTACGACGCTTCCGAGCCAGTGTCCTCCATTGGGCTAATCCGCAAGTTACAGTTGGTATTTTGTCACCTGGATCGTATGGACGGAGGTTCATATAGCAAGTTATTGATATTACCTTTGACAAGGAGCCTAGGAGGATCTAGATATAGCTCTGAATCCTGTATGCCGTGAAATGTTTTAACGTCAATACCCTAGCAGCGTGTAGCTTTTCAAAAAACATCCAGGCAACACATGAAGTGTCTACAGCCTTGAGGGTTAAAGACCTATAAGTGATTTTGTATCTTTTTTCGCACCACAATATGACCTGAGAAAATTTTCTAGAGTCCATTTTTTTTATGTCAGGTGAAACGTAATCCAGACGCATACCCTAAGTTTATGTTTGTCGCGATTACCTTGTTGCACGATCTTTTCTGTCTCTTGAAGAGTGATTTCAAGCTCTTTTACCGCCTCTGGAAGTAAGCGGACTTTTTCCAATATCCAAGAAGACTCTATGTTCTGTACTTGGCTCTTCACTTTAGAGAGACTTGTCTCTAAGCGTTCCATATCCCATCCAATACCAGACAAGGAAGGATCCTCTAGCCCTTTGCGCAGATGTGCTTCTCTCGCAAGTAAGGGACTGACTTTTGACAAATACAGATCTTTATAAAGGTTGAAAACCTTCTCCTTCTCCAAATGTGCACGGGAATTTCTATGGGCCTCTGGATTCTCTATCTCATTGCCTAACGACGCCATTTCTCCAGTTGGTTCGGAAACTAGAAAAATCGATGAGAGAGCAAATATGAAACGGTCATACTTTTGGCAGATTTCTTTGTGATCATAATCCATAAATTTGAACCAATTGAGCATTATTCAAGATTGATGAGCAAATCTTCCATTATGTTGTGATCTTTCGCCCCAAGCTATCACGCTTATGACCAAATATCTCAACAAAACCTACAACCACCGCTTCAGCATTGTTTTTTGAATTAGCATGATGCGATTATCAGTAAATGGTTTATCACTGGTGTTTCTGGTGTTTTCCTTGAACCAACTCGATTGACACGAGCCAATAAACCCTAAAGAGGTTTGCATGGGGACGAAATATTAGGTAATTTTTTTAATCAAAATAGACTTTACCGACTACCTTTGCTGTCTTCGTCCATCATTTGGGTCTCGTCAGTTGAAGATTTGAAACTAACCCTACATATTCCACATGCAGATGCGTCGACCTTAAATTGGAAAAAATGTTCCTCAAAGACATCATTTTCCAAATTCGTTTGTTCCTCCTTGGACTGGGACCTCTCTAGCGTTTTAGCGGGTAACACTTCTACTTTCGCTTCGATTTCTTCTTCTTGGATTGTGGTAGCGCTCACTTCTCTTCGCATGTTTTCTTTCTCTTTAATCTCTTCTTCTGTATAAACCACATCCATGCTCTCCTCCGTAACTTCCGCCCCGATTAAATTCAAATGTTCCTTTTCTTTAGACGTTTTCCCTTCATGTTGCTCCTGTTTCAATTCGTCACGTATGTGAGACAAGTTTGCGTCAAATGTCCCGGGGTAAGTCGCTGGATTGCATGCTTCATCGTAACAAAGTTCCTCTTTATTCCAGCGCAGATCATATAGTTCTTCGGCCCTACTTCTCAGGAACTTCTTGAAAATTGAAACCACATCACAACGCCCTTGCACATCTTTAATTTCTTCTAAAACTGTTTTAATACGGCTAGTCAACTGTGGGTTGGACCTGATACGAAGCGCTCTTCTCAGCATTATTTCTTCCGACTGAATGGAAATTCCTTTTCCACAGTTGCACAACATGGTAAGGAAAAGCACTAGGGTTCTCTCTGCTTCTCCGGAGTCACAGTACGACGGACTTTCATCAGAGTCAAGGGCGTCCCCTACAACATCAAACCAATGGGCTTCCTCGCCACATGTCAGCCTCACTATGTGGTCTAGAATAGACCGAGCAGCTTTAGACAGTCTAATTTGGCTGGTTACCTGTGCACAATTTCTCTCCACTGCTTGATACAAAGTAAATTTTCCTGTCCCAGCTCCTACAATTAAATTGTCCCAGAACCTTACCATCGTGAGGTAACTGGCTGGTAGACAAACTGGATATCGATGCTCCTTACACAACTGGCAGTACAAAGCAAGGCAAGCCGTCAGTTGATGTTCTAAGATCATAATGGTGTTGGCAATAGATGGATAAATCATTTTGCTTCGCTTTGCTGTTAGAGTGAGGAAACGTCTGATGATCAGATGAGCAGCATTTTCCACATCGCCATCAACATACAGTTTCTTCTTTCCATCCTCCCACCACTGCAAGTAGCTCTCGTAACGCCCATGCCGTATTTTTACCATTCCATTCTTTGATAACAAATCATTTATGGAACTAAATTGTGGGTTCCTTGTCTCCTTTTCGAACTCTTTTTCCTCTTCACAAATCCACTTTACCATAGAATTCGTTGCGCCGATTAGCTGCAAAAACGATGACACCTTAAGAAAGTTGTCAGTGTCTGACCGACGTGACTCTTCGGACTTTTCTTTCCACAGAACGTGTGCGAACTTTGAAATGCGCTTGGTGACCAGTTTTGTCCTATTTAGATGGGGAACATTTTCTGGTGTAAGATGGTATCCTCGATAACCAGACGTGGGAAACAAGAAGTCATAGAATCGTTCACAAGAGCGAAACTTCTTAAACTTTGAGAAATTTAAGGGGTGGGCATCTTGCTGTTCTTTCTCTGAGGTCGTCCCCGACATGAAGGATTCAACGACTGATTCCAGATAGATCAAATGGAATAACGCAAGGAAGCGGGTCTTGAAGAGCTCTTCAGAATCTTCATGCAGATATTCACAACTAGGATTGTTGCAGGTTGATTCCATTTCAATTTTTGTGCACAGAGAATTCCTGGAAAAGGTTACCTCAAGCATCGTGCAAATCAAGTTTACGAGCTTAGCACAATCGTTAATCAAGACCCGACTAATTTTCTGGTGTGCTTCAGAGGTCTCTATCGTCGCGTCAATGTTAGAAGTGCTGCTTTCATCATGGATCTTAGGATCAAGCTTGGCGTACCGCCCTCCACATTTACAAAAGTATCTCTTCTTTTCTGCAACATCAGTTTTAAAAAGTCCAAAGAATTCTTCACACTTCGAGACTTCAATGCGTTGCGCCGCGGTCAATTTCCAGGCTGGCATGTACAAAAGATGAATAATTTGTAATACTCTCTCCAAGGCTCTCACAGCCAACCATTGATGGAAGGTTTTTGGAGGTGCACAGTCTGTTGTCTTGAGCAACTCCGTGATACTTTCTACTTCCCCGCACGGATTCTTACACTTGTCAAACAATCTTCCCGCCTCCTGGAACTTCTGAATGTCATCGGAAAATCTTCCTAGCAACAACAGAGCTTCCGCTTGGCCATTCAGGTCATCACAAGCTTTATACTTCTCAATAGCTTTTTTAAGAAAAGCAGGACTTTTTTCGTTTTTCTTGGTAGTGCGAACAAGAGATATCATACAATCGGCAGCAAATTTGGGATCAGTAGAATACCTTTCAGCTTCCTCAAATTTCCCTGCATCTTTTAAAAGCCGAGCAGCTTCATCCCTTCTCCCGTCATCATCCAAAGCTCTCGCTGCCTCAATAAGACATCCGCGTTTCTTCAAGAATGTTATACGATCGGTGATAGATGGAAGGTATCGAAGGACCTCGCCCATTTGGTTTTTCTCCCCTCTTTTGAAATGTTGGTCTGCCAGTTGGTGACGTAGCCTCTCCACTGTACGGGTTGATCTTGGGGGAATTATGCCTTGTTTTCCTTCTAAGTCACCGCTCGATGCCAGGATATTATAGCGTTCGAGGGCTCTCAGTGCCTCTTCAAACATGCCTGCACGGAAAAAGACTTCGATGGCCTCCGCGTAGTTGTTTTGTGCTTCGTAACATCTGCTTGCTTCCTTGTGAAGTCTTACTTTCTTAAAGTGACGAGCTGCGTCCTGAAACTACCAAATAACGAAAATACGGAGTAAGGAGAAAATATCAATAGCGGCGAACCAGAATCGAAAATCAGCATTGACACAATATAAATAGGTAGTGTTAGAGAACCTGAAAGATGTTACTTTAATAAAACAGAACATTCCCTAGCTTTGCATCAATTTACCACGAACAAAATTCACTAATTCATTCGTATCATTAACCTTTCCTGTTTTCTCGTACAGTCTAGCCAAAAGGGTCCACTCTTGGGCGTTATTTAGACAAATCTCGGCCTCATCATACATGCTGCATCTCAGGAAGCTTTCTCCAGCCCTGAGGAATTCATCCTTCATTCGCTGACGATTTGTGGTACGCAATTTGATGGCTTCTTCCACTTGTTGGTGTGCTTGGCTTTTCTGAACCCAAGTATCATCTCCAGCAAACTCAAAGCACTGTACAGCAGCTCTCCACAATCTGTGTTTGTAGAAACGCATACCACCCTTTCGCCACTCCTCCGGCGTTGACCGAGCAGCAAACATGCTGGACAGCTCACCAGATCCAGCTTCATGATCTCCCATTGTTACAACATTAACAAGGCCACGTTTCTGGAAGAACTCAAACATGGGTGCTCTAGACTCGTTGTCTTCGTCAAAGAACCAGACGTTTACTCTGGCTCGAGTGATGGCTGTGTATAAATACTTGAGCTCAGAATTGAGAACCTTGTGCTTGTCCGAATCAAATTCAAGGGGACGCGAAGATTCTACTATAACGCCGTCCTCTGTAATTTCAACCAGACCAGTCGAACTAGAAACATTAGCAAGTCCTTCATCTCTCATAAAACTGGCGACAACTCTCCATTCTTTCCTTGCCTGCGGCATAAGATACAAGGTATGTTTCTTTGGTCAAAAAAATGCTTAGGATGCCTCAACTACCGTTTGTGAAGCGCTTTTAATCGACTACTTACTTCTTGAAAGGAGTTTTGAAAAAAAAATTAATCATTTCTTCTTGCTGTTGAGTATGCATTCATCATTTCCTCGGTCCAATACTTATAACTGACCGATAGGGCATAAGACTGCTGATGGTAGCTTTCCGCACCTTTGAAAACATCTACAACCTGCTGAACTATCTCTTTTCTGACGCCTTTTGACAATGAAGATTATATTTTTGTATCGATAATTTACGAGAGCTTGATATTTTACCTGAGAATCCTGAAAGAAATTGTAAATCAAGACGTCATCAAACTCAAGTCCCTTGGCCTCGTAGATGGTCATGACAAGTCCATGTCTCAGTTCATCCGGCAACGCATCTCTCGCCTCATTTGACGACACAAGAACCACCTGGTGAGCACCAAACTCAATTCTTGAAGATTGCCGCTGATTTCCTTGAAGAATCATTGCCAAGTCTGTAGGACTGCAGGACTCCAGAAGGACCGGCCGGGGTCCTTCAAAAAGTCCTTCATCCTTTTGCAATCTGTCAAACGACTCAGGAAAATATTTCAGCAACAAATCTACGACGCTGGAGGCAAGGCGCAGAATTCCCGCGTGTGATCGATAATTGTGCGTCAGTTGATATAGCTTTTTTGGGACTCTAATGAAGTTATTCTGGTCATCAGTGATGCCTGCTGCCCTCCTGGCGTGATGAAACAAAGACTTTAAATCACTAAAGCGGAAAGAAATTCCCCTCATAATGCTCTGTGCTGTATCACCAGTAAAAAATAGTTGATTTGGGTAGCGACAGCAACGAATCAACACAGACAACTCTGCTTGTGTAAAATCTTGGGTTTCATCTACATAGAACTGATGAACAGACCATTCAGCTGCACCTATGTCTTCAAGACGCTTGTGAATGCTGAACACCACGTCTGCCTCATCAAACATTCGTTTTGAGGATCGCTGTCGATCATAAACTCGATAGAGATCGTAGACTACCTTTCTGTCTGCAGTGAAATTCGGAGCCTTTTTCTTTCCGAGGGACTCGTAATCTTGAAGTGAGAGCTCTCCATTTTCGCTCAACAGGGCTTCGGCAGAACCTTTTATGAAAGACCGTATTTCGGTCCACACTAAAGTGGGATGGTAATCAACCTTCTCTTTCGAAACTTTTTTCATTTTTGGCCATAACTCAGCTAGGAAAACAGGGTAAGTGATTTCCCTTCTGGGGTCTTTGTCTCCGTTAATGGAACTTTCTTTTCCTTTATGCTTCGTTTCTACGCTAGCATGTTGTGTTCCAGCGACCTCCTCGTGTTCTTCTTCGTGATCACTTTCGTCGTCTGATTCTGTGGCTGGAATGAACTGTAAATGACTATCTTCCTCTCCCCAGCCATCAATTTTCCGAAGCAAGCTTCCATCGTCAGCGCGTTTAAAGAAGGTTTTTCCAGGAAGAGATGCATCTAACATAAGAAGCCAGTCCTTTGAATTCACGAAAAGGGGCCACGCTTCTTCAGCAATGCTCTGAATCTTTGCAGGAAGAGATTGGTCTTCAAATGGTACACGATGTTGTGCTGCTGGGCAAGCACGGCATAGCTCCTTGAAATTCTTCTCAACTTCGCTGCAGAGAACATTGTTCTTTGTAATAAAGATCTGATGTAGATGTTCATACATCTCAGGTTGCTTCTTTTCTTCGTGGTCGCTGTCTTCAAGCCGGCTTTCTGTCCTTGGAGGACAATAGTTTGATTGTGTCACTTGATCGTCATTTTGTGACGCACAAGCTGAAACTGAATACGACAAAGCATCGGATTTTTGACATTCTGGAGATACAGATGCTCGTAGTTCACTACGTACAGCTTGGTTTGCATCCTGCTCAATTCTACTTTGTAATGTTTCATTGTCTTCGGAACATTGACCAGTCTCCAATGAAGGGGGCAGATATCGAGGTATGTGGGGGCCAGCAGTTTCAGCACGTTCCCAGTAACTTTGAAACTGGTCCCATAGGCGGTAGAGGCAACAAGTAGTTTTTCCCGTACCACTTCGACCAAGAAGAATGATAGGCATCGGAGGATCTGGGCGGAGGTTAACGATGGCATGCTCGAGTTCAGTTATTTTGAAAGGAAAGTCGATCTTAGAAGAAATGTCGCTTTCTAGAACGGTTTTCACGAGAGCGGTGCTGAATGAGTAAAACTTGAGAATGTGATATTCTTGCTCATTGGCACTCGCAGGTGGAAAGAATACTTGAGGAAAATTGTCATCAATGGTTGACTTCTTCGGTGCGCTTTTCTTGGCTCGTGGATTTCCTTTTTGCTCCGAATCACCAATCTCTGCATACTTGTTGGGAAGACACTCGGAAGTTAAGGCGCTATTGCCCCCAGATTCTAGCGGAATGCCTTTGAGTTTCCTCTTTACGATACAATCCATTCCCCTGTCATGTGACTTGACAATGAGGTCTATAGAGCGCTGAAGTTTGTCGTGGTCTAACACAATGTCCCACACCCGAATAATATCTGAATAGATTCGACCCTCAGAAGTCTCCTTCTTCAAGCGGAGCTCGGGATCTTCGCTGCATCGACCAGAAAAAGCGATTGTTCTTTCCCAAATGATTCGTTGACCTTTCGTTAACTTTGATTCGTAAAGTTCGATGTCCTTCTTCTTTGCTTCACCTTCGAGTCTCTTGCAGAGTGTCTTACTCCATCTGCCATTCGCTAGCATGCGAATTTTATCGATTATACGTCTCCTCGTAGAAAATCCAACTCTTCTGCTTCTCATAATCTTCCAAACTCGATCAGTACAATCCACTTCCCAAGGAAGATCCTCAAAAGGAGATTTGGAGTCGATTTCTTTTTCTGTATCATTATCACCGGGGATCTCATTATCACCATCACCTCGATCATCAACTACGGTTTCCTCGTTCACCACTGCGTCGCTGTTACTCTCCACTGCATGAGGGCTCCCTGGAGGCTCATTGAATATCTCGATATCATCGTGCTCTTCGTTTGTATCCATGGGAACAAATGCGGAGAGAGGCTTTATCTCACCGATGAGGATGGTAATATTTTCTCTCCTTTGCATTCGCAGCTGTTGTTTTTCATCTATCTTCCAAACGTTGCCGTTTTGAGGAGTGTTATTGGCTTCTGTTGTCGCTTTTTCTTCACTACTAAGCGAAACTTCTCTCCCTTCTGTACCTGTTACCTGACGTTCTTCATCATGTTGTTCATTAGACACGTTTTCAGGGATGTTTTCTTGGGTTACAGACACAGACGAATTCAACTTGTGGCGTTCTAATGCTGTACTTAACATCTTATGGCGAGGATCACGACACGGAACCTTTTGAATGGCAGATTCCTTCTTCTTGTTAAGGAGACTGGGGTTTACATTGGCTTCTCGAAGTATTCGGATTGCGTCACACTTTTTTGACAGAGCATTCTTACCAATGCATGCAATGTGATAAAGGGTGTTGCCTTCTGTGTCTTGGACACACTGAACCTCGGGGAGTGTAGACTTCACCATTGCTTTTAAGAATTCAAGCGTCCCTAACAAATTGATAATAAGAAGCATTACTCAGGATTAAGGTCTAATTCAGAATAAAAGTTGAAGTCCCGTCTGCTCTCTTTATTTTTCTCAGTAATATGACACCAGCTTTAGTCTACTGTTCTGTTGCAATTGCACCTAAATTGTAGAATCCCACTGCCTCTCTAGACGATTACTGTAACATCAATTCCAGATAAATTACCATTCTTCTGAAGACCACTCCTCAATGCTTGGTGAATTATGGGCTTCCCGTCTTTACTGATTACACAAGGGTTGGCTCCAGTGTGCACCAATTTTTCCACAAGGGGTAAGTTTGGCAGTCTCATAGCTTCATCTAAAGGTACTGCATCGGATTCGTTAATGGCATTTGCTGAGGCTCCATGCTTGAGGAGGACTGATACTAAAATGAGTCGCTCGGGCACATTAGAACAAATGATTTCTCCAAGTGGGACACTCGATGCGTCGATGCCAGTCGCCAGTCCTCCATTTCCTACTGGTTGCGACGCTGTTCCTCCTCCACCGAGATACAGGATTTTCAGTTTATGCCAATCCTTCTTCTTTATCACCTCGCTCACTAGCTTTTCCAGCAGTTTGTTGGGCACAGGGGCCGTTAGAGCTGATGTTCCCTCTAAGAGAAAGGATTTACCATTTAGTTTCAACTCAATCAAAATAAGGCTACCCATCTGCATCTTTCCACTCGTAAAAAGATGTTCTCATTTAGAAAGCGACGTTTTTGGTTCTTCTACATCACGAAATGATATTTTTGCATGCAATGTTCATTTTTAATCTTTACCTTTAAGACTGGCAGCAGTAGCCAAAGCGTCACACAAAAGTCTATAAATGAAGTTCTCATCTGTTGTTCTCTTTAGGCATTCGTTCGCCGCATGCATCGCCTCTTTTTTCCTTTTTAACGCCTGGAAACACTTATGTTGGTGTAGATAAACCTGTTGAAAAGGATGCTTGTTGTAAATTTGATTTTGTCTTTCATGTAAAAGGAATGGGAAATGTGCAGTTACTACTGATGGGATACCTACCTCAGACATTTCTGGGCACATCTTTGATGCATTCACTGCATCTTCCAAACCGCTTTGGAAGTTATCCAACTGCTGGAAAGCCTCTGAACGTCGGCACAGCAGATGTGAAAAGGTCTCTTTTGAATCAGCTGGAGTGTACTTTAAGGCCTGATTCAAGTAGTCAATGGAGAGGTTGTAATCACTTAGGTGGAAGGTTTGGTCGGCTCGTCCTCCCCATCTCTTTGCTTCTTCCTTTTAATAAGAATTTCAACGAGTCAGCTCATTTTATTCGAAGAAGTTATTCATTAAGATATGTATGTCAGCCACTACGGACGAAAAGTATTATCTTAGATACATTGTAATCTGCGATGGAGTGCTCACTGAAAAAAGGAATACCTCCGATTTCACTGGCTGTAACTTAAAGCACTCCTTTCCTGCGTCGATACATTTTTCGTGCTCGGTCCCAATGAAGTAGGCCTCTGCCAGCGCATGATATATCTGTGCTCTAATAGTCTTGTCTTTGGTGGAATCCGAAAGGTATAGAGACATATTGAGCAGCATCACAGCCTTTTTACTGTCATTGGCGTCTACTGTTCTGCGACCGAGTTGAAGCCATTGCTTAGGTTGACCCTATGAAGTTTCAAGACACATCGTAGTCCTTTAAAGTCAATTGAGTACAATAACTACTAAATACTGGCTTGCAAATTATTATCGAAGAGTAATTTCACACCTCTCTGTTAATGAAAATCCCATTGCCAACTATGCAGGCTGGATCGGCATTGTTCCTCAACAAAGTCACAGCTAGAGGAAAGTTCATCATTTCCATGGCAGCCAAAAGGGGAGGCTTGGCACAATTCCGTAATCCGTTCACGGAGGCGTTGTGTTGAAGAAGAGATTTGACAAGGCTGTGGACATCTTTAACATCCGACTTGATGAGAAGGTCGAGAGGCACACTTGAAGCATCGCATTCACTTTCAATAGCCAGTCCTCTAGATGCTGGGCTTGAGGCGCTACCAAGATATAGAAATCTCAGTTTCTTCCATTCTTTCTTTTCGGATGCGTCCTTTACCAGAAATTGTAACACGCTGGATGACAGAGTGCAAGTAATCTGTGATTCTCCACCTATAATAAGGGTCAATGGAATACTGGTTATCCTTAGAGCGTAGCTAACTCCAGCTTTCTATTTGAAAACTTTGAAGTTTGTAAACGTTGATATGTTAGTGGAAAATAAGGATCTCCCTTTCCGATGCCTGCGCACAGTCCTAGTGTTGTAAAATGAGGAAAGTATCCTTTACCAATCTCAGTATAACTAGCAGGTTCTCACATCTACCGTTTCATTAAATGATGAAAAATGGAGCAGGAAAGGTTTTCTATGAACAGATTACCAACCTTCTGTGAGCATAGCAGTTGTAATCACATCTATTGCAGTTATATGCTTCTCTTTGTCGTTAAGAGCGTGTGTGTGTGCTTTACAAAACGCCTTCAGAGCTTCTTGAGTTTTGTTTAAATTTCGAAGGCATGCTCCCTGACGCGAATAACCCTGGAAATAATGTTGGCAGCAGCTATAATTTTCATTGCAGAATAGTCATACAAGACTGTTTTATTTTATTATACATTAATCTGACACTTTTTTACGCCTTAGAATATGTTAGTGTAAGGAATTACTCGAAGGTTCTTGTCTATCGGGCACTGTTGTTGACGTGAGCATGATATTATAACTTGTATATTTAGCAATTATTCCACGAGCGCGCGTTGGATATGAGATGATTATAGCCAACTTGGCACTAAGCACCTCGTTGGCTATCTATCATCTCATATCCAACGCGCGCTCGTGGAATAACTGTTTTATTAAAAACGCCCCCAAGATATTAGACAAATCTCAACAAATCTTAAATTGTTTAGCTCCCTTTTAATTTCAAGCTGACGCGTACGTTTACCATATTTGTAGATTATGGTATATTGGCTCATATACCATAATGGCTAAGCCAATAAAAAGTCTTGACTTGCATTATCCAATGATCCAGTTTTTAATAAATATACATAAAAAAAGTAGACTTCCACTCTCATGAACACATTCTTTGATATATAGGGTTCCACTAGACGGCACATTTTGGATGATGATTAGCTAATAACTAGACAAATGTTATTCTCAGTTATTACGTGGTGGTGCTCGTTTTGCTACTGGTGTCATGTGCGCGCTATAGCCTTACGCCAGAAAACTGACACGCTTCTTGAGTCTTTTTTGCAGTTATGTAACAGATTAAAGATGACTTAATGATGATTGTTATGAGCGAAAGTGATCCAGTCTAGTAAGATAACGCATGGTACAATTTGGCGATAGGTAAACTGTGGGGCTAAAAAGGCTTAGAGTCTAAAGTCATCTTAATTGATACATAAGCCATGAAAGATGCCACACACGTCACTGCTTAGTGTTCGGCGCCTGAGTTCCGAAGTGTGTTGGCAAGGAGAGAGGTTGATGGGTGCTCTTGGATCTCCCTTAAAGTACTTGTCCTCTGTGAGTGCACTATCAAAACTCTAGCGGCTCTGTTGACTGTTTTTGATGGAAAGATAAGTACGTGCGTACGTACTTTGAACGAGCTCTACGAGCTCCATGACGCTATGTGGGTAAATAAAGTATTGATTGATTGAAATAAAACTAGTTGCTTACTCTGAACCACTTTGGATTCATTTTAATGCATTCTTTTGCGTCTTCCAAAGCTTCGTCGAACTTCTGTAAGTGGTTAAGCGCTAGACAGCGGTTGCTTAGAAGAGAGGCCATCAGCTCAATCTTTGATGTTGGTGTGAATTCCAAGGCAACTGTGTAATACCCAGCCATTAGGTCGTATTTTCTTTCTTTGTTTAACTCGTTTCCCCAGCTCTTCCACTGTGTAGCTTTATCCTTTACAGAATAATCATAAACAAATTGAATAGATAATTAGACAGTTACCGATTGATAGAGGCACAGATAGAAAAAGATAGAATGATAGATTAGATAGTATTAAGCAGACTTGTTTACCCAATAGGGTCCATTAAATGCAATCTGATGTCGTAGAGAATTTTTAAAGGAATTTTATTTCATGTTCTTGTTTTATGATTAGGAACCTGCTTTGAACTATTCATTGTACAGTATTAAATATCGTAGAGTGCTAGTAGGCTTAAAAAAACAAAGTCAAACAGCAAATATAGCATAAAATTTTACCTCATTTTTGTATTCTTTGTGAAAAGCTTTTTTCAATTTGCGCCCCGTGCGAAGACAATCTTCAAAGGCCTTTTCTTGGAAGTACAATTCACAACGAGTTTGCAACGTTTTACGCTGCTCGTCTGTCGTGTTTTCTTCTTGCGGCAAAGAGAGTTTAAATGATTCGATGGCTTTGCTGTTATCTCCTTTTTCCATTGCTTTTTTCGCATCCTCTTTAAATTTCCTCTGAAATAAACAGACAAAGAATGACCGAACAAATCCTTCAGATTAAGCTCTTTAGTTATTTCAGCACCATTAAAATTGAACGACTCTGTTACCGTTAAAGTGCACCTAAACCTCAAGTTTTTATTTCGCTTCACGAAATAAGCGTATTTTTTGGAGTATTTCTGTGCAAAAGTTTTTTTAATCGCTCAAATCTTCAATTTTCTGTGCCCAGTCAAAATACTGAAAATCGGCCGCCATCTTGGCTCACGACCGAGTTTAAAGAGGAATGGTTCTAGCGGGTAATGTGACGTCAAATCGAAAACACGAAAGTCTGCATTTCACGCATTTTCACTTGTTTGAGAAGGTTGTAGTCGATAAATTCCGAAAATATGCCGACCGAGTGTGTTGCTGGAAGAGGTAGCAACGTGCGAAATTTGCAAGAGGGTATCGCGCTTCATACATTCTTCAATATAACACACCTAGTCGGCATATTTCGGACAATATCGAGGACAATCTTCCCAGACAAGTGAAAATGTGTGAGATGCAGACTTTCGTGTTCTCGATTTGACGTCACATTACCCGCTAGAGCCATTCTTCTTTAAACTCGGTCGTGGGGCAAGATGGCGGCGGATTTTCCGTATTTTGACTGGGCAGAGAAAATTCACGATTTGAGCAAATTAAAAAATCTTTGCACAGAAATACTCCAAAAAATACGCATATTTCGTTCAGCGAAAAAAATTGGGGTTTAGGTACACTGTAACGATCTTCCACATCTTTTGTACTCTTTCAACCCTTCGTTTCTCAAAGTAACAAAGTTAATCGATGAATCCTTTTTGCAACTTAATTATCTGTCAAGGTGTGGGGTGATTGGAAAATCGTTAAATGTGGCATAATTGTTTGGTTTCTCGAGTTTCCATTTACATGAAGAAAAAGCTGACCAAAACTTGGAGACTCACGATTGAGCGACCAATTCTTCTACAATCGATCTAGTTATCTATTCTGGAAAACAGGAGGCCATATTTTGGAACGGCTAACTCAAGTATAGTTCGCACTGCCACGGGTTTTTACTAAACAATAATCTGAAAATGGTGATTTTCCTAAAAATCATGTATTTCGAACTATCGTTGTATGTGCTATTTATGTATTCCTTTTTACACTTCCATCGATTGGAAACCAATAATTTCGCTTTCAAATAATAAATATTTCAGCAGTAAAAAAAATGAAGGTATAGAACATCGACAAAAAAACAAACGCAATTCATAGCTGTCCTCTAGGCCTTAACCAAGAGTTCAAACTATAAGTCAGTATCCGTTATATGCGTTCGTCTGCAGAGTTCTTTTATCTTCTTTAAGTGGAAAATATAGATGCGTTGATATCGATTGCGGCACTTATAGCTCTTATGGCGATGCACTCATGGTGATGAAGGATATTGTACGCGGTTAGCTGATTATTTTCAATATTCAGGAGGAGTTATTGCGAGTCTCTTCGCTTCTTCATTTAGTTTGAACTTCCAAAAATCACCGTTTCTCAGTAATTTTAATTATCTAACTAGCGCAAGCGTTGATCAAACTCTAGCAGTCTTGAACTGATTCGAATTGATGAGGTAGCTAAATGAAAAGCGGTGAAGGTTGTCAGTTTTATCTTGTTTGATATATCTTTGAGCTACCAATGTCTGCTTACTTAAGCGTAAGGTGTTTGTGCTTGTCGGTCTTTGTTATTGCGCTGCCCAGTACTGTGATTAAAACTGTTATGGACTTTAGGATCGGAAATCTGCTCGCCTTTGTTTCTCACATTCATTACCGAAAACACCATTTACTGGATCAAAACCATCTCGTTATATTCGATTAAAAGTGTTAAATCTGACACTTACAGAGCAATTCTTTCGGATTTGTCATGACGAAGGATCAGAAATAAATATAGAAATATATATATCAAATCGACGCGCTCCCCTTACATTGAATTAAGAAATTTTTTTGCGGCTACAAATCCGTCCAAGGGCTTACGGCGACGACAGAATCCAACTGCCTTTCGTAGGGCAGGAATTTTCCCCTATTACTGGCCGCTTTGAAACGCAATGTGAAACCCATTTCTGTAATTGTATTTTTATGACGTTCGACTATAATTTAAAGAAACAGTTGCCATGAATTTTATAACGCTTACCTGACAGTAGAAAGGTTTAAGTTCACATATTTATATTCTCTTCTCTCGAAAACCAAGCAGCGACGATCATCTTCCGATCGACAGTGTTTTGGGAAACATTCAAAACATCACTTTAAGTTCCCTTTTTAAACGCAAGTGACCGTGACAGATCAGCCATTAGCCAATAGATTTTGTCTTAGGAAAAAAAAAAATGATTGTTTTGCACTTCATGTCACGGCAGGTTTTTCTGAGAAACAGAGCGACGAGTTCCGAGAAAAAAATTGTTTCTTCTTAAGTGACTTAATCAGTTTTAAACTGATAATTTTCTCATAGTAGTTCCTTTGTACAATCATAGTTCAAATTTTTTCCGAGATACACAATGTGTCGCAATTGTCAGTGTTCAGTATTTTTTTAAGAGTTTTGAGTCTTTGGTAATTCATTCAGTAAAAAAAAAAAAAAAAACAGTGAAAAATACGTATGATGCACTGAGACACTGAACGACGAAATCTTTACCATATCACGCTGTCGTTTCTCTTTCGAGTAAGTTTTGCTACTTCCATGGAAGGGATGTATTTAATAAACGTATTTAATACCGCAGTTCAAAATATATGAACTTCATATATACATTGTAAGTGAAAAAAGCGTTGTTTAGAAATTTCTAGACGTGTCTTGTCGACGCAAGGGCTCACGATAAGTTTTGACTTCGAGAATGAAAGTGACAAACCAAACAGAGGATCGCTTTTTAGCTCAACATAAATCCAGTGTTCTACTGGTGCAAGAACTGAAAGTTGAGAAGTTAACTTCGGCGCCTATTCTTGCGCAAATCTCAAGTAGGAATAGAGATGGATGGGCGAGAAAATTCGCAATTCTCGCGCTGCCGATTAGATCCGCTATCAGTAAAATCCATGTTTAGACAGGTCACGGAAAAGACAAGGCAACGACGATTACCTGCGAGCGATGTTGTGTTGCAAAGATAGTATTCAAAGCCTTTTGTATAGGAACCTTTTTAGAATAGCGAATGCAACTTTTGAGATTAAAACTAACGTACCTTTTGCCTTGTTGTATTTTCAGATATTCGTCAGCGTCTTGAACTGTTTTAAATAAGCGGTTTTAGCGAGTTTTGATGATATACGTGCTGCTGGCAAGAGAAAGGTACGATTCACATATGAAACACTGCTTCTTCGGAGTGCTCGTTACTCTAGGCAAAAAAAAAATACATGTTTGAAAATAACTTCCGACCACACTTCGTTCATGACCCCAACGAAGAAGCGATGAAGTTGCTTATCGATTCACTCGTAAGACAATTAGCCGTCAAAATAGCCCGATTGAGTTTGCTTAAGATGTCTGGTGACCAATATTGGCCTGACGGGGGTAGACAGCAGCCTACTGGACCCGGAAACAGACCCTTGATTGCTTATCGACGGCTTTAGATCTCACAGTTCACCCCAACAATCAGGTCTATTATTTATGGCCATGGCTGACAAAGAGAATTCAAGAAAGGTTGATTTCATGTAACTGAGACACTGAACGACGAAATCTTTACCATATCATGCTTTCGTTTCTCTTTCGAGTAAGTTTTGCAACTTCCATGGAAGGGATGTTGGTTTTACTGTGGCATGAATTATTGTTCTCGATATTACAACATAAAAGAGTAAGGACACTTCTTTTACTCTTTTTTTTTGGGGGGGGGGGTTATTATAATTTTTATATATTAATTTTGCAACAAAAGCTTATTAATAGCAGGCCTCCTGATCAACAAACGGGTTGAATGCAACAAGGAATTTGTAAAACTAAAGCCGGCAAATAGAAGAGACTGAGAAGGGAAAAGTAAATATTTGATCCAGGCCTGGCATTTTTCGCTCGGAGAATCAGTATTTTTCTCTTTCTCCCCTTTGTGGTCTGACTATGCAAACTTATGCAGACTAATCAATCGATCGATTTGTCAGCGAAAATTACCGAGCTACCGGTCAGTGAACCGCATGATCGACGAGCTAAAAGTACTGGAGGCAAGACGTGGTCAGTGCTTTCCAGATAGCGACAACTATAAGTGAACACTTCCTTCATTTCCTTAGGGAGATCTTCGGTAAGAGTGAAGCAAGAAAAAGGATATAAAAATTCAAATCTCGGCCCTCTTAATCATAGCTTCTGTTACTTTTCAATTATTGGCAGATTATAGTTGAGTTACTGAAATTTAAGACGATAACAAGAAACAGACGTATGCAAGTTATGGTTGGCCTTCAAATGGGTGTTAACCGCAGGAAAAAATACAGTAGTTAGGGACGTCCACTTGAATGACAATTCTCCATTTGAAGTGTATGGTGGAAAGATTTGCTTGATATAAGTTCACCAAGGTGTCTTTTCTCTTGAAATGATGCGATCATTTGTTTCATTATTGGATTTCTAATGGGTGTCCGCTGACTGGTAACTCGGTTATTGCTCTGTGAGAAGATTTATGTAACAAGTTTAAATGCTATTTGTTCTACAAAAATTTAAGCTGTTATAGTGGTCATGACTCTCTCTAGAATCTAATTATTCGAGATAACATTTCTACGAAGAGGAAAATGCGTTAAGTGTCCACATTGCATCTATTTGACCGCCAGCAGTTCTACTGTGATGTGACTGAATCTTTGAATGATTACGTGCGCCTGACAGCTTTGCAAAAGATATGTTTTCTGATTGGTTCAGGCCTCGATGACATATTGACCTCCTTCCTGTAGATGTTGAGGTTTTTCAAAGTGGAAACTGTGATCATTTTCTCGGGCTGTTTGTTCTAACGAGAGAGTGAAATGATTTTGTATTTAGAAACGAAACGGGGCTCCTTATGTCGCGGAATTAACCATAGAAATCAAGTCATTATAATACCGTTGGGTCACCTTGTTTTAGTCGATTAAAGATTACGTAAGTCCTAAACACAAATATAGGAATAAAGCTGGTAAGTTTTTTAAGAGACTATGGTGCTGCGTCGGTGGGTAAATATAAAAAGATACTTTTGTTTTATCAACTGCGTTGATTATATAAATTTTGCACCGTAAAGGGTTTCAAAGCTGACGTCTCGAGCGTTACCCTTCATCAGAGCGAACCACTGATCTGAACTCTTAGATAATAACAGAGCAGATTTTAATTTTTCTTTTTATCTTACCCCTGCATTTTTCTTTCGAGGTCTTTTCATTTGACTTTTTCCCAAGTCGGTTCCTGGTTTCACATCCTCAATAGTCTCGTAAATATTTTCAGGTTCCTCGGTTGCTGCTGGCTGGATCTCGGCGGTGCTTGCGTCTGGTTTGGCTTTCTCTACTTGCTTAACGAAATCTTTTCGACCCTTAAGAATATCAGTTAGTAATACACCAGTTAAAATTCAAAATTTGAACAAACAAATTGAAAAGTTATGATGATCACGGTTCACTCATTTCCACAGCTCTCTTGGTCTAGCACAAAATCATTGATTGTTTTTGTTCGAGCGTTGATCGCACTATCAAATCTGGCAGATTGTCGTCGGGAGCCCAAATAGTAACTGCCGACTACTCGGAGAACTCTTGTTTTATCAGGGAGAGCAAAAATACAGTCATTGGTTTCGGTTGTACGAGGAATAGACAATAACGATACTGAACGCTTGGTTAAATTGCTATCCCTCGGGTAACTGTTGACAAAAGAGCTCACACTATTCCCCGGGTTGCGTTGTTGCCTGTGGATTAAGTTCCTAGTACAAGCCTTGGGTCTGTTTACGATTAATTTTTAATTTCTTTAGATTTTTTTTTTTACGCGCTTTCTATTTTACGGACCAACACTCAAGGTCTTAAAATAACTGAGAAGAATATGCTTCCTATCTGTAACATCAAGAAATGGTTAGATATTCTAGTCTTCTCGGATAGGGACGAATAAATGGAGGTCCCGTCTCCTGCAGGGTTAGGGGTAGGAGACGTTAATTTCCCACGCACGAGTATACTGTGTGATGGATGTCCTCCCCTGGGGTGGGTTGGGTGGGTGCTTACAGGGCCGTTCTGAAAACCACTTCTGTGAGAACGCACCCTGTCTAAAGATTATTATCTATCTATCTATCTATCTATCTATCTATCTATCTATCTATCTATCTATCTATCTATCTATCTATCTAT